GCGCACACTGGCAATTTAAAAATAAACAAGCCCTAGCTGGTTTGGCTCAGTGGATAGAGCGTCAGCTGCGGACTGAAGGGCCCCAGGTTCGATTCTGGTCAAGGGCACATGCCTATGTTGTGGGCTTGATCCCAAGTAGGGGACGTGCAGGAGGCAGCCAATCAATGATTCTCTCTCATCGTTGATGTTTCTATCTCTCTTTCCCTCTCCCTTCCTCTCTGAAATCAATAAAGATATATTTTTAAAAATAAATAAATAAATAAATAAAAATAAACGTTGACTCACGCATGCATGATACATATAAAGCTCTCGTGGGCGCCAATTTCATGTGTGTGTTTCAATCTGTCATTGTTAATCATGAATTTAATTGACACTTCTATTATAGAGAAAGGGCAAATAGCGATATTAAAATATTTCTTCTAATTAATTTCCTTTCAATGTGCACGAATCTGTGCACCAGGCCACAGTATGTGTATATATACATTTTTTTCATATATATCACATATTTATATGACAACATAGAACTCTTAAAGTTTACACATAGTAAACAATAATTTTATTTCATCAGATGAGATGGATGTTAGCCACTTAACATTTAATATGTTAATGTAACAATTTATTCCACTCACTTATAAAATATCTTTTTAATCACTAAAATTTTCATTTATTTTGAGTCTAATAATATATTAATCTCCAAGACATCACAAAACTTTGGTTATACATGCATCCTGAATGACTCTACGTGTACATTTTTATTTTCCTTCACCTGGACGTTTTCTTCTTATACTTATTGATTCTCTTAGAAGAGAATATTTTGTTCTTAGAATTTTTTGTGACTTCTATAAGAGATGAGTAACTTTGTGGTAGAATACATTTAAAAGATTTAGCAATTATGGGTAATATTCCCTATAATACAATTTGATAAAGGAAGTTGGAGTTAACACTTAGGGGAGGGAGGTGAGAATTGTATTGAGTAGTCTTAATTAACAACTTTATTTGGCCCAGGAGTTCAATGTTAGCACTGAAGAAGGTGAGAATTGAATTCTGAAATTTTGTGAATAAACTGACTGTGTGAAGGAAGAGCAGCATGATTTGCTCAGAGGGCTCACAAGGAAGCCAACAGCTCATTCATCAGCCTAAAGCAACTGAAGAATCTGAGTGTGCGTTAACTTTAGAAGAAAATATCTTAAAGAAAAAGCAGAAAGTCTCACAAATGAAAGCACAAACATTTTAAAATTATAACTATAAATTTTTACAAATATTCTACAGAATTATAAAAATTATAGCAGTTTTATAAAAAATGGCCCAAAATTTCATTGACACAGAAGAACCTATAATTTAATCCATGATAAAAAAAAATGACTGCTTATGATAGGTTGTCTCTTTCAATGAATCTACAACTCCCTTTGAGGCTAAATTTAGAAAATGAGAATATAATTGAATAATTTTTCTCAACACTTTACCTTTTCTTAGTTGAGATCTCTTTGATCTACTCTGCCAACTTTCCTATGGGTCACAGTACTCTCTTGGCTCCATAACAGTAAATCTCAGAACATTGCTCATCCACAATTATTTAACAAATCTTCCTTTGACATTTCTATTACTCTATAATATAAATGTATCATCCTCATCTAACAAACTCCAAGGCATCCCTCTATCAGCTCACTTAACTTTCTCCCTCTCCAACTCCATTATCACCCTGAACCATTTTAGCACACATGATTTAATCTAGACATTACCACAGCCCTATAAGTTTCTCTACAACATAACAATCACCTATATTATACTTCAGTAAATCACTTACAAGTTATTTATTAAGTAAACCCTGTATGACATCTTCTTAATTTTCAACCCCATCCTATTTTTACACAAAATCTATTCTTCACTCTCATTAAAATAGAACTTAACTCTTTCACACCTAATTTATCAGCTGTTCCCTGGCTTCCTTTGATCCCCTATCCAACTTTGAACCCATAACCACACATTTCAAATAGTAATACTGTCTCACTAGCACTCTCAAAGCACTTGCCTAACCCCCTTTACACCATAAGCCAAACATGCTGACCCCTAAGGAAGGTGTCCTTGCTCCTAAATTGCTGAGTACTGGGGCAGAAAATGGTTTAACTCTATAGATTCCTCACCAAGATTGGGTATTCTGGTTTCAAAAGATCCTCAAAGCTATATGGTCATCCAACTAGTCTTCCCAATCCCATTGCTCCTCAAGGAAAACAAAAACTATGAATTATGAACTTGCTTCTTATCTTCCCTTTCTCACTACTGGTTATATACTGGAATTACCTAGATCATGTCTGTGTAAATGTCATTGCCTTGGGCCTATCCCAAAGCAAATCAGAATGTCTGGGTATGGGAACCATATATTGACTCTACATTTTTTATTCCTTTCCAAAGCTTCACCTGTTCTTTCTTGCTTCTCTTTCTGCAAACTCCTATGAACAGAACCGTTTTGTCTTTTTCATTGACCATGTCACTAATAACGTCCATGTCCACTAGAGCTAATAATGACTCAGATATTTTTAAAAAGTCTACAGATGAATATACAATGTGCAGAGTTTGGATGTGGAGTTACCACATAAAAAGCAATTATTTTTTGGAAAACAGTGGTCAAGTGGTCAGCTAAGAAGAAACAGACAATGGTCAAGGACAAACAACAGCTGTCCTTAACCATTGAAGAAATGGAGTATGCAATTTAAAGTCTCCTGAAAAAAAAAATCTCTAGGCCTGAATGGTTTTGCTGAAGAATTCTATCAAACATTTAAAGAAGTAGTAACACAATCTTCTAAAATTATGTAAGTTTTCGCAATCTCTTCCAGAATAATAAATGAGGAGATAAGATTTCCCAATTCACTTTATGAGGCCAATATTACCCTGGTACCAAAACTAGACAAAACAGCATTAAAATGGTGACCCAGATCAATATCTATCATAAATTTAGATGTGAAAATTTTCAACAAAATATTAGCAAACAGAATGCGGCAATGCATAAAAAGAATAATATTCCACAATTAAATAGGATTTATTCCAAATTATAAGACTGGTCCAACATTGGAAAATCAAAGTAATTCACCATATCAACAGGCTAAAGAAGCAAAATCATATTAATTCACATCAATAAAATTTTAACAAAATCCAACACCCATTCAGGATAAAAACGCTCAGCAAACTACAAATAAAGAACTTCCTCAACTTGAAGGGCATCTATAAAAATCCTATTGCTATATCATACTTAATGATGAAAGACTGAATGCTTTCTCTCAAAGATCAGATCAAAATTTAAAACTAAACTTTTAGAAAAAATCATAGGGAAAAAATTTGGGGATCTAGGGCTAAGCAAAGAGTTCTTCAATTTTACAAGGAAAGTAAGAACTGTAAGAGGAGAAAGTTATAAATTGAAGCTCACCAAAATTAAAATCTGCAAAGGATTGCATTATGAGCATGAAAAGAAAGCCATGGACTAGAAGAAAATATTTGAAAATCACATATCTGATAAAGAACTAGCATCTATAATATATAAAAAACTCTGGGAACTCCAATTAGAAATGGGCAAAAAACATACATATTTCACTGAAGATATATGGATGATAAATAAGCATGCAAAACAATATTCGACAAGAGAAATAAGCACCTAAAAAGATGCTCAATACCATTAGCCATTAGAGAAATGCAAAATAAAACCACAATGAGACAGCACTCCATCTCTATCTAAGTGACAACAGCAGTGCTGGTGAGGAGATGGAAAAACGACCTCACTTACACACTGCTGGTGGATGTGTAGACTGATACAGCCACTCTGGAAAACATTTAGACAGTTTCTTGTAAAGCTGAGCAGGCAACCACCATACAACCCAAGCACTATACTGTCTGGTGTTTATCCCAGAGAAACAAAAACTTAAGTTCACACAAAAACCTGTATAAGAAGTTTCACAGCAGTTGTATATATCATGGCCAAAAACTAGAAACAACACTGATGTCCTTTAACAGATGGGTGGTTAAAGTGTGTATTTCCGTATCATAAAATATTACTCAGTAAAAAAAAGATTAAACTATTGATAAATGCAACAACTTGGATGGATTTTGAGGGAATTATAGTAAGTGAATGAAAAGCAAACCAAAAAGGTCATACACTGTATGATTCCATTTACATAACAGTCTTGACAAAATACAGAAATAGAGAACAAATTTTGGAGGTCGGGAGTGGAATGGACGTGGGGGTGGCAATAAAGGACAGCAAGAGAGATTCTTATGGGGATGGACTTGTTCTGTATCTTGACTGTATCGATACCAACACCCTGCTGGTGAGAGTGCATATAGTTCTGCAAGATATTACCACTGAGGGCCAACAGGTAAAAGGTATATGATTTGTTTGCATTATTTGTTTTACAATTGCACATGAACCTACAATTATCTCAAAATAAAAAGTTCCATTAAAAAACAGCATTTGCTACATATGTATTATATTTGTACTTGTCCAAAATTTTCTTTAGGCTATTTCTACTGAAAAATACTTCATGCACTTCAAATTGTTTACTTCTGTTTCACAGGAAGCAAGTTCTAGTCATTGGAGAGATTGAAAACTAAATGGACTTCCCTAGTAAGTGTGTCGTCTCTATAAAACTGTTAGAATAGATTAGTCTAAAGGGACTACTTCACTGTCTACAAGATATAATTAGGTGACCTACAAGGCATTATTCAAACCAAATTCTTCCATATTCTTACCTTTAGATAGGACATACTAATAACTATTTTTCATGATTACATATGAAAATGGTCAATAAATATGTTACATAATAAAATAACATTGGCCTATCAATGTCATTTCCTAGAACACAATGATTTTAGCTTACTTTTAAAAGCTCATAGTTATATATGAATAAAACATTGAACAACTGTTTTATTCTATTATATACATTTACCTTTCATATAATAAAGTAAATATATAAGCACGGGATAGTAGTTTTTTAAAATTTTAAATGCTTGATTACCTGCACACAGAACACTGCCGCTGAGGCTGAAGAGCCGTGAACATAACAATCATAGAATAGTTTCGAGGTGGTGCCTTTATAAATTTTCGGAATTTGTCGCCATTCATTCGGAAGATTGAGCGCCTGGAACTCCATTCCATCAACTGTTCTACTTTTTCGGCTAACAGATTCTGCAATTAAATATAGGAATTTAAATTTACACAAGGTTAAATTTCAGTTTGTATTTCATATAAGCAGATTACATGAGATTATATTTTAGCCAACGTTATTTTCTGTTAAAAGTCCTTGTTTTGGTGAACAATACCAGAAGTAATAAGACACATCAACATCACGTATTCCCTGAAATCCTGAAATCCGCAGATAAGAGCACATCACCTCCATGGTATTCTTAGCAAAAAGGTAAACCTCAATCTAATCATGAGAAAACATTACACTGACACAAGTTTAGTAACAGTCTATAAAATAACTAACCAGTGCTCTTCAAAGGTGTCAAGTTCATGAAAGACCAGGAAAGGCTGAGGAACAGTAACATGGAGAAGAGGGAGAGATAACAACTAAATGTAATATGGAACCTCTCACAATCCGGGACCCCTCAGGGGATGTTGGACAGCCGTTTGGCCCGATCCCCGCAGGCCAGGCCGAGGGACCCTCCGGTGCACAAATCCATGCACCGGGCCTCTCGTATGCATATAAGATCTTTGGTTAATCTCTTCCCACCCTCCCCCCTTCCCTCTAAGATTCATCAGTCTGTTCCATGTTTCCATGCCTGTGCGTTGAGTGTCTGCCCCCTGGTGGTCAGTGCACATCATAGCTACCAGTCAAACGGTTGCTTAGGTTTTTGTTTTTTTAAATTTGGGGGGCCAGGCGGGTTAGTCCAACTCAAGAGGAAGGACTTCCACTGGTGCTCAGGCCTCACCAAGCTTTTATTGGTATGAGATACACCCATAGCCCTTAGGCAGGGAGGTTCCAGTGACACACAGACTATTTTATCAGTAAGGATTTACATGACTGTCTTATCAATAAGGATTTACATAAGTAAAGGTGGGGAGGTTGCTTCAGCTACCATTATCTGGATTAACAGAGGTGGTGCACAGCTCTGACCTTTGCTAAGGCTACAAAGGTCACCAGCCTTCCGGGTTCTCTGTCTACGCTTCTCTGCTAGTGAAGACAATAAGCGGTTTCCCACATCTCCCCCCCCCTTTTTTTTTTATATAGAGATACACGTTGTTATTTATAAACTTCTAAAATAAACATTAAGAAAGTACAAGATCCCTTTTTTTTTGAGTGTTCACACAAGGTTGTTAACTTTTGTTCCACTTTCCACCCACAAGGAGCAGAGTGTTCAGTTTTTATATCTCTTGCCTCAAGCAACTTTCCCATTTTAAAGTCAACAATCCAAGAGCCAGAAGCATCTGAAATTGCTATCAGATATATGGCTTTTATCATCACTTCAGAATGCTCTGAACATTCGTCACTGATAAACAGCCAATGACAATTAGCCACACTCATTTCAGAAATTATAAAAAATTAAGCTTATTTTTTAAATGTAGCATTATCATCCATACTTTAATATAATGCTTACAACAAACAAAAAGACATGCTTAAAGAGTACTTCCAATGTGTCAGTTACCAAACTAGGCATACAACATGTCAGGTGCCAACCAGCATCCCTATTCCACAGAGAAAAAAATTCAGGTTCAGAGAACCTAAATTACTTACTCAAGATCAAATTACTAAGTAGTTAAGCCTGGATTCAAATTTGGCTTTTCTACTGTTAATTCCTAGGCTGTTTATCCATGTAATAGTGGTGTGTGTGTGTGTGTGTGTGTGTATGTTATATGTTCATGTGTGAGATATCTGTGTATACACACACACAGTCTTTAAAAAAATCTGGAGAACCATATAAACAAAAGTAGACTTTTCTACACAGTGAGACAGTTTATTATGAAAGTTCCTCTAATGCAGTGGTTCTCAATCTTCCTAATTCCACGACCCTTTAATACAGTTCCTCATGTTGTGGTGACCCCCAACCATAAAATTATTTTCGTTGCTACTTCATAACTGTAATTTTGCTACTGTTATGGATCTTAATGTAAATATCTGAGATGCTATATGTGTTTTCTGATGGTCATGACCCACAGGTTGAGAACTACTGCTCTAATGTAATTCCCTGATTAGGCCTAGAAAATAATTCTTTGTAAGCATGCATTCTTTATGGTAAAAACTAGGCCAGGTAAATAAGTTAACATGTAGTTTACAGATGTTTAAAGGTTTTAAGATAATATAGAAAGATGTATTTTTAAAGTACCAATACACTTGAAGAAAATAATAGCAAAAATATTGAGCATTAAATATGGATTTAGAACACATAATTAAAGAGAGCCAAGTCCCAGATTCTCTATTTAGGAAGTAGTGTGCAGAAGTGAGCCGTCTGATTAGCTGTCTTCTTCCTACAGAAAAAAATGTCTGGGAAGGGAAGGGCATCATGGTTGACACACTTTCAAGAGCATCCTATATAATAAAAGCCTAATATGCAAACTGACCAAATGGCCGAATGACCAATGGAACCGTCAGTTACTATCGCTATGATGTGCACTGACCACCAGGGGGCAGATGCTCAATGCAGGAGCTGCCCCCAGCCCCCAGGCCAGCCGAGGCGGGTGCCAGCGGGGGGTCCCCCTGATCACTCCGCCAGTTGCCCCGCAGAGGGAGGCAACCGGCGGCGGCGGTGGCAGGGCAATCGGGACAGGGACAGCCAGCAAGTGGGCTGGCACCACCCCCCCCCCCCCCATCACCCTGCGGTTGCCTCCAAGGCGGGTGCCAGTGGGGTCGCCTGATTGCCCCACTAGTCACCTTGCAGAGGGAGGTGAACGATGGTGGTGGCAGGGTATGGGGCTGGCAAGTGGGCAGCACCAGGCCAGCCAAGGCGCGTGCCAGCAGGGGCCCCCCAATCGTCCCACCAGTCGCCCCACAGATTGGCCCTGATTGCCGGTCAGGCCTAGGGACCCTACTGTGCACCAATTTCGTGCACCGGGCCTCTAGTCTATTATAAAGAAGGTTGAGCTAATTCTCCAAAGAAAGTATTGCAAGGTAATATAGTAGAAACATTCAGTAAGGAACAGAAAACTGGTCAATGTGAATTCAATGACCTAAGAAAGAATCACAGGTTGAGCTACAGTCTCCAAAAAAGGTTTATTCCACTGTTGCATTTCTCTGGGACAGGACTGTAGCCCTATTTAAGGGCCAGGTTAGGTGCATTTGTCCCTTTGACATATGTATTTCCATTTCAGGGCCATCTGTGCTCCTTTCTGTTGGAATTTTTTCCCTTCTGCTACCATTTCATTTCTGCAGAACTGCTTTCATACTTCACCACCTTCTCTGTTTGGGTGTCCCTTTTGGTCTCTTAAAGAGAGTAATACTCAGGAACCTTGATTCCCTATTCCCAAGGGAACAAGTAAAAAAAAATAATATATGGGGGAACTTTGTGTATTTCAGGGAACACAGACACATCCATAAGATGGAATATAATGTAACCTTTAAAACTGAGAAAGCACCATATGTCTATTTTTAAATTAGAAAAGAATTCAATGGCTCAAGTCCGAATGATGGTTCTGTATTTATATGCAACTAGAGGCCCGGTGAACAAAAATTTGTGCACTCGGGCGGGGGGGTGGGAGGGGGGTCCCTCAGCCCAGCCTATGCCCTCTCACAGTCTGGGACCCCTCGGGGGATGACCACCTGCTGGCTTAGGCCTGCTCCCTGGGGGATTGGGCCTAAGCTGGCAATAAGACATCCCTCTGGCAGCCCGGCAGCTCTCGGGGAATGTCCACTTGCCAGCGGGGAGCAGACCTAAGCTGCAGTCGGACATCCTTAGCACTGCTGAGGCAGGAGAGGCTCCCACCACCACCGCTGTACTGGCAGCCATCAGCCTGGCTTGTGGCTGAGCAGAGCTCCCCCATGTGGGAGCTCACTTACCACCTGAGAACAGCTCCTACATTGAGCGTCTGCCCCCTGGTGGTCAGTGTGTGTCATAGTGACCAGTTATTCCCAGTCTTTCTGTTGTTAGGGTCAGTTTTCATATTACCCTTTTACTATATAGGATAGAGGCCTGGTGCACGGGTGGGGGCCGTCTGGTTTGCCCTGAAGGGTGTCCCGGATCAGGGTGGGGGTCCCGCTTGGGTGCCTGGCCAGCCTGGGTGAGGGGCTGATGGCTGTTTGCAGCTGGTTACACCCCCTTCAGGGTGGGGGTCCCCACTGGGGTGCCTGGCCTGCCTGGATGAGGGGCTGATGGCTGTTTTCAGGCTGCCCGCACCCCCTTTAGGGTGGGGGTCCCAACTGGGGTGCCTGGCCAGCCTGGATGAGGGGCTGAGGGTTTTCAGGCTGGCCAAGCCCACCGGCGACTGAAGCTCCCAGCCTCTCCTTTTTTTCTTTTTTTTTTTTATTCTGGGATTTATTTACCTTCTATAATTGAAACTTTGTTGCTGCTCCAACTCCGAGGCCACGGCCTGCTGAAAGCAGGTATCTGGGGTTTGTTTAGCTCCTATAATTGCAACTTTGTTGCTTAGAGTGGAGCTCAGAGCCGGACCGTGGCAGGCGGGGAACCTTGGCTTCCTCCATCACTGGAGCAAGCAAGCCTCCTGCTCGCTTCAGCTGCGTGGCTGCCGGCCGCCATCTTGGTTGGCGGTTAATTTGCATACCTCGCTGATTAGCCAATGGGAAGCGTAGCAGAGGTACGGTTAATTTCAATCTTTGTCTATTATTAGATAGGATGTGACCTGACCAAATTAGTTCTCTGAATCTCAGTTTCTTTATCTCTAAAACAAATAATACCTCACAACAATGTTGATAAAATTAAATGACTTAATGCAGGATAGGCACTCAAATTGTGTTCCCTTCTGCTCAGGTTAATTTCTATCAGCAACACTGAGAGGAACAGTGGCTTCTGAAGGAATATCTAAGTGGAAATTTTTTTTAAAAAAATAATCTAATTAATATCTTAAATCTCAGAGTTATCTAATGTTTTCTCAGTACTTAGTAAATGACAAGCACTGTTCTAAATTTATAAATGAACACTGTGGATTACTGATTACATGACAAGCATTGTGTTAAATCTATGGAAAATGAAAGAGGAAGGAGTACAGCAGGTCCTCTTCTCAAGGCCTTATGGTAAAGAAGCTCTAGCAGTAAAAATATTGCTTATATTGGTATTACGCTGTGGCTTTGGTGTTAAATAAATGCCTTAGTGCCATCAGGGCAAGATGGCATATAAGATCTCATGTCTGTGAACACTAACTGGTTGGTAATGGCTAATTTAAATTTAGCACAGAGGAAAATTCTGAAACCTTGACAGGGGCTATGTAAAGAGTGTGTGATCAGTTGGATTCTGTTGGCTAAGGCCAGGAAATAGGAAC